TATTTTCTCATGCCAGCTACTTTCCCAGCTACCTTTTGGTACATGACTTCCCACGGCCAATAACACCTGCTTTTCCAGTCAAAGCAAAAAGCATGGCCTTCTACAAGAGATCTCTTTGATGTTTTGCACCGCTTTCGAATAACAAACAATCTTGGCTTGAGTGCGAGACCTTGAATCCTAGACCGTCTTGCAAGTGCCTAGCACCGTGTACTGGTTACCAGACAACCTTGGCTTGCACGCAAGGCCATAGGTTCTTGGCCGTTTGCCTGGAGAAACAGTTTCTTCAGTCAGTCAACAAGCCATGTCCTGCTAATTATAGGAACAAGCAATGGGCTCCCGTTCTGCTGACTTGGGGTCTCAGCCAATCTGACCCTGGGACGGCTCGCTTCAGCTTCCTTCAGTGTTACAATTGACTACAGTGTTCAGTACAGTAACATGCTGTGCAGGTCTGTAGCCTAGAATAGGCTGACCCACACAGTCTAAGTGTGTAGTAGGCTGCACCATCTAGCTTTGGATGAATGCACTCTATGATGTTTGCACAATGATGAAATTGCCTAATGATACATTTCTCAGGACCTGTCCCCGTTATTACACAATGCATAACTATGCATACATGTATATATGTGCATTAAAACACTAATAATGATCATCTCTAGGGAGTGAGACCATGGGTGATTTTTAAATTTTTTCTGTTCATCAGTAATGAGATGTTGTGTTTCTCAATAAATATTACTTTATCATAAGTAAAAAGGTTAAAATTTAAAAATAAAAATGCTCTCTAAAATAAAAAAGTGAAAAAAAATCCCAAAGCTTGGATATTGATTGTTAGCTGTGGACCCTGTTTCTTCTCTGCCCATGCCAGCTCTCGGGTAAGTAGGTTTAATAGCTTTGTGGGAAAAGGTCCCAAACAAGAGACCAGTTTTCGTTCCTGGGGACAGTCCATATCTTCCTGCCATCTGGGGTGGGGCACCCGGCCTCACCTCACCAGCTTCAACTAAGGGACCCCTGTGTCAGGTGGCGGCAGTGCCCTTGGTCCTTGCTGAGGACTGGCAGCTCTGTGGCACACGTGCTATGAGCCTTCAAGTTGCAAGGTCCCACCCCCTTGCTGTTTTGGATCTGTCGGCCCTGTGTTGGCCTATCCCCAAGCTTTTTGGGGATACCTAAAATCTGGCAGCACTCTGACCTGTCCAGAAATCTGTCTCCAAGGCTAATATCCTGAGGCACTAGGTAGGACTGGCTATATAATCTGCAGGCTCAGTGCCAAATAGAAATGTGAATTGATCAAAATTTACTAAGGATTTCAAGATGGCAAGAGCAGAATATTAACCAAGCGCAGGCTTTTCTGAGCCTGGGGCGCTTTGTGACTGTGTAGGTCGCAAGCCACCCTGGCACCAGCCTCCTTGTTTCCTATCCAGTCTGTTCAGCTGTAAAGTGTGGGCAAGTTAGTTTGTTCATGACCTGAAAAAAGAGAGGCAGTTTAAACAGGGCCAAGATGAATGTTAGGTGGACAGGACTTACCTTCTACCATCCCAGGATCATCATGTTATGATAATGGCCACATTGTTCTAGAATGTGTCTGTGTCCATTTATTCTCCAGCTACCCAGGGGGGAGGAACAGAATAAGACAGACTGCTGAGTAACCAGGGTGGGGAAAAGGAAAACTTCATAAGTATCAAATGGACTTCCTTTTTAACCCCTAGAATGGCCAATTATGGGGTTTCACATACCTTCAAAATAAAAGAAACTAACTTCCTATTATTTAGCAGCTTTTTATCCAATGGAAGGATTATCTTGGCCAATTCATTAACAACTCAAAATAAAAATTCATTACCAGGAGTTCAGTGGCGATTAAGGCTCAAACATGACATATTCTATGCATGTAACAAAATATCATATGTACCCTCAATATTATATATCAATTAAAAAACCAAAAAGTTTTAAAAAAGCAGTATGTGTTAGCACTTTCTTTTCCACCATCTTAAATGTTTCGGAAAATTCTATCAAAAAGATCTCACGGTGGGTGGTAGAGCTTGTGCTACAGCCTGAAAGCATGGCTTGAGTTCCTTGTCTGTTACCGCCATGCAAGTTGGTTGGGGACAAGCCACTTAATTGCTGTGTCTCAGTCTCCTCAGCTGTAAGCAAAGATAACAATACTCACAGGGTTACTGAGAGAATAAAATAATATGGATAAAGAACTTTGTAAACCGTTTCTTTTTTTTTTTTTTTAAACTTTCAGAATGGCAAAGTATAAACCGTTTCTTTTTAAAGCCTATACGTATAAGTATTAATGAGTTATTACCCTAAATAATAGCCATTAGGTTATGTAACAAAGGGAAATGAGCAGGTGCTAATGATGTATCCTGGTTTTTTATGGAGGAAATAGTTTGCTTTCCTGAATCCAGTTTTAAAATGTACAGCTGTAAAAAATGTTTCTTCCTTCTTTTTTTTTAGAAGTGAGGTCTTCACATGTTGCCCAGGCTAGTCTTGAGCTTCTGGACTCAAGCGATCCTCCTGCCTCATCCTCCCGAGTAGCTGAGACTACAGGACACAGCATCTGGCTTATACAAAATGTTTCTCTAAAAAGAAAAATATCATCCCTTGCATTCTTTAGCCAAAGGTATGTGACGATCTTCTGTTCTGGAAATTGGACAATCCTAATAATCCCTCCCTATTAAGCATCATTATATTAAACCATAGACTAGGGAAAAGATTGCCTGCCCATAGTTGCAGCTTCTTTATTTCAAATAATCTTTTATACTTCAAATGCTTTGCAACAGAAGGCTTTAGTCATGGCCTTGAAATACGACTGAACTCATACTTAATCTGATTTTCACAGACACCTTTCCTGGTTACTCACCCAGAGATCACACTCTCGAACTCTATGTACAAATTATTCCTGGGTCACTTAGGGTCCTCAGAGGTAGTACTATAGAAGGGGCTTTGTGCTATTGTCAACATTTTGAAACCTTTCTAGAATTTAGTGTTTCTAGTAACAAATATCAGAAGGACGTATTTTGGAATTTCTAGGTTGATATAATAATATCCTGTCTTAAGAACTAAATGAGAAGCCAGAGAAAGGCTAGCAAACTTGAGCCACACTTGGAGTCAGTTATCTTAAAAAAGTCAAAAAATTAGTGAAGAGAGATCCAAACCATGCATTGTTGTTAGTGACCTGGCTGGACAGTAACGTATAGATGCTACAGCTGGACTTACAAAAAGCCGACTGTTCATAGAAATATAATTTTCCATTGTTTCACATTGATCATTTGACACTGAGAAATTCTAGCATCTTCAATCCTGGTTGGAACATACTCCTCTCAGGAAAGTTGGTACAAATTTACAGAGGGATTTTTAAATAATGGGGCTGGAAATGAAGGAACATCCCAAAAGGAATGGATTCAGAGTCGATCTTAAAGGAGAGAGAGCAAGTTTTTGTTAAGTCATGAAAGACAAGGGGCCAAATAATTTAAGGAATTCACTTGTTCAACCAATACTTATTAACAACCTAGTGCATGCCGGCACTGGGCTAAAGGCTGATCAAAACAAAGTCCCCGTTCTTAAGACCTTCCATCTCTTAGGGGAAACAGAACAATAAGCCAGGAGAAATAAATAAATAAGTGAGAGGACTGCAATTACTGGAAAGTGCTAGGAGGAAATGATCAGGGAATGTGGAGGAGAGTGATTAGGGTGGAGTTTGCCACATCAGATGGGACAGTCAGGGAGGGGCTTTTGGAGAAGGTGACATAGGAGCTGGGACCTGCAGGTAGAAATGTTAAGACCTAGGAATGCTCCTCTGGCAAAGGGAACTGCCAGTGCCAAGGTGAGGAGGGGCTTGGCATGCTCAGGGCAGAGAGAGAAGAGACCACTGGCTGGGGCCCAGTGAGCAAGGAGGAGGCTGGCGGACATGAGGTTGGAGGGATAGGTCTTGCATCACCTTGCAGGCTGAGCTGAGGGTTATGGGTTTGATTTCTAAGAGTGATGCCAAGCCACTGAAAGGTGTGAAGCAGGATGTTGATTTATGGTGTTCAGAGATTACCTTGGCTTTGGTGGTTGGGCAGGGGGTTGAGTGCAGAGAAGAGGAGAGACAAAGAGACTGGTTGAGAGGTTGCCCTACAGTAGCCCAATGAGAACGGAAGTGCAGGGGTCGAATTCCTTAGAAGCCAGCCACATGCCCCTGGAAATCTGTGCTGAAGCCCTTAGACTGCCCAAATTTCCTGTTATCTCTCTACTGGTTTCCCAGCTTGTGACCCAAACACTCTACTACAGGAATATCCAGCCTATTCCTGACAATGTCCCAGAATCTGTACCATGTTGGCAATATGTATCTGGAAGAGGCTGGTGGTTGCTAAGAGAAGCCATTGATGGAAATAATGGACAAAATGCGGCTACGATTTGAGCATTTCTCCAGGGTGGAAAATTCTGGAAGCCCAAAGGGTCAGGGAGAGGAGCATAGTGGAGGTCCCAGGCTACAGATCCATAGTGCAAGGTTCTGAGGTCAACGTGTCAGATCAGAATCAATGTGAAGGGTCTCTGCACGATGTCTGTAGGGTGGGGGGAGTGGGGGTTTGAGCCCACCCAGAAGAGACTGCATCACTGATGAGGCCTTCATTTTTCTTTTATAATTAACTTTAACTTATTTGTACTGGCTTAGAGACTCCCTAGAGACACTGCGGTAAGATTTGCCTGGTAAGGTTCTAAAATTCTCATTCATTTCTGTATTTTTTTTTTTTTTTTGAGACAGAGTCTCACTTTGTTGCCCAGGCTTGAGTGAGTGCCGTAGCGTCAGCCTAGCTCACAGCAACCTCAAACTCCTGGGCTGAAGCGATCCTCCTGCCTCAGCCTCCCAAGTAGCTGGGACTACAGGCATGAGCCACCATGCCCGGCTAATTTTTTTCTATATATGTATTAGTTGGCCAATTAATTTCTTTCTATTTATAGTAGAGACGGGGTCTCACTCTTGCTCAGGCTGGTTTTGAACTCCTGACCTCGAGCAATTCGCCTGCTTCAGCCTCCCAGAGTGCTAGGATTACAGGTGTGAGCCACCGCGCCCGGCTCATTTCTGTATTTTGAATACACTTTACCAAAGCCTTATTCCACCATGGCTGGCGAGTTTACATGGCAGCTTAGTGTAAAGGAAAGAATGTTTTAGAGTCAGAGGGAAATTTGCACAAAGCCTGGATCTGCCACATTCTAGCTCTATTGTTTTGGTCCAGTCGTTTGAAGTCTCTTCACCTCAGTTCCCACAGCTGTGTGATGGGGCTGCAAAGATGAGGGATGAGAGTTGTAAAGTGCCTGGCTCCTACTAGACACTTGATAACCATCAGAATCATGATTAAAGGCCAAGGAAACAAATTACTTTCTCACATGAACCAGACAGCTTACACAAAAAGAAAAGAAACCTCTTTTCTACATCTGCAGGTTGCACTGAGTCCTGACACACACAGGTGCTCACGCGAAAGAGGTTCCAGGTTAAAGAGTGAGGAAGGGTAAACACCAGCCCTTCCCTGTGTCCCCGTCATTGCAGGCACTGCTCAAAGAATTGCTAACCACGCCTCAGGAGAAACATCCTCATCACACCCTTTGTCATTTTTTTACCTTCCCTTTTGAGGTTATGGATGGAAACTATTAGAGTTAGGAAAATGACTGAAATATTTTTCCCCAGTCATGAAATTATATTAATACAAAAGCTCCGAGAACATTCAGCAGCCTCGAAGCTCACCAGGGTGGTAAGCCTGAACTCACTTGGTTTTTCTAAAACATAAAGGAAGGATGGTTCTTTAAATGCAACTTCTCACTGAGCCCAGAAATGAAAAATTCCAGCTTGTCACTGATCTCTTACAAAAGTTGGAAGAAGCTCGCTCCTTTTGTAGGCAGGATTCATATAAAACAGCCCAGTTCAGCCTTTGTTCCTTTGTTTGCTCTGTGTTTGGTTATAATTAAGTGTTTCATTCTTGAGGTTTCTTGTTCACAGAGGCTTCCTGTAGAAGAAGAGTAACCAGAGGTTTATTTCTGCCTTTGCAAAGCAGGGCAGAGGTCCCCCGCCCACCTCTGTCTCCACGTTAAAACACAGAGCCTGGCAGTTAGACTGGGCCCACTCTCCAATCCTTTGACATTCCTTCCAATATCCCAGGGTACAAGACACCAAAACCAGGAAAACTTTATTACAAGTTTTGAATTGCTGTTATTTGTTTATTTAATTATATCAGTAACTAGTATTTCCTTCAACTTTCCTCTTTTGGGTTAGACCATGGAAGATAGTGCAATGTGTTGGAGGAAGAATGTTCTGAGAAAAGAAAATATTAGAAGTAACTTTTACTTTGGGAAGTTTTGAAAACAAATAGAGAGAAATGAGATACCCTCTTGAAGGAGAGCAAGAATGAGGATCTGGAAGAGGTTGTGCTCCTCATCTTAAGAAAACATAAACACTGAAGGTATTACATTGACCTGAGTTGGGTCTGTGAGGATGGGAAACTTGGTTTCCTCTCGTGGCCTCCCTGACAGGTTGGCAAGGACCACCTGCGTTTTCAGGATGTTGGTCCCTTGCCCGACCCAATCCTGTAAAAGTGGAAGAAAGGAGCCCAAAGGGAGAGATTGGAAACCGCAAGATGATCCTGGCTTTCCTCATGTTTCACTTAGTACATCACGGCTCCGAATAAGGGAGAGTATAAAGTGAACCCAGGCAACCACTTGTGTGGTGTGATTTTAGAGACTCTACAAAGCAGCCTGGCTCAAAATTTGCCCACAGCAGCCTAAAATTCTTATCAAGACTCTCTTCTGTGAGTTAGCTCATTCTAACTTTGTTCTAAACTTTCATGAGCTATCTGGGAAGACTGATAATGCAATTACTACCCATTAGACTTTTAGCATGACTTGTTTTCCTGCCATTTCTCAAGGGTGCTATGGGAAATGTTTGTGTGAGCCACCAGGCATGGTGGCTCACATCTATAATCCCAGAGACTAGGGAGGATCGCTTGAGCCTAAGAGTTTGGATTGCAGTGAGCTATGATCATACCACTGCACTCCAGCCTGGCTGACAGAGAGAGACCCCATATAAAAAAAATAATAATAAGCTGTATTATATTTTGTTTCTAAGATGCCAAAAAAAGAATTGCCTATCACACACTACATATCACAGCCAAAGGCAGGATAAGTTGCCAAACCCAGAAGAATGCATACAAGGATGTGTCAAATATCGAATGAGCAAAGGCTGGTGGTACTGATATTATGCACAACACAGAACTGTTTTTAAAGCATTATATCACAGTTCAATAGAAAGAACGATAGTTTTTTTCTTTATTAGCAATAACAATAGTGTCTCAATTTGATATAATATACTATTTAATTGCAAGGAACAGAAACCCACTCATTTTAGCTTACAGCAAAGGCAGGGGTGTGCTCAAGCCAGCTCATTGAAGCTCGTGAAAGGTGAAATCTATGTGCACATGTCTACACTCAGTGATATCACAATAGCTAGAAATAGGCACGGTGGTAGTATTTACACCATGGAAATTGGCACATGCTACAAATCAGGGTGGTAGTGTTCGTTTGCTTTTTAAGAGCTGGTTTACTCGCATACCATTGCCAAAGAGGAAGTTTGTGGATTATAGAGGAGGATATTATGGAAGCCTTGGTAGAGTTTGGAACAAGGTAATGTAAAGTTTTCAAGAACAAAGACAACTTCTTGTGTTTGTTTTCTTCTTGGTTTCTCTGGAGCCACATGGCCTCTTATCTCATCTTAGGTCTACACATCTTTTCATTCTCTCTCTAGAGAAAACAGCCACCTCTGGAACAATCAGCTCTGTGTAAAGTCATTCACAGTTACGTGCTGCATAATGGTGTTTCATCGATGACAGACTGCGTATGTAATGGTGAATGTAAGGGAGCTGAAAATTCCTATTGCCTAGTGACATCATAATGGTCATAATGTCGTAGTGCCATGAAATACTCCCATGTTTGTGGTGACGCTGGTGTAAGCAAACCTATTGCACTGCCAGCCGTAGAACAGTCTAGCACATACAATTATGTGCAGCACATAGTACTTGATAATGATAATAAATAACCATATTATTGGTTTATATATTTACCAATACTATACCACACTATACTTTTTATGGTTACCTTAGAGTGTACTCCTGTACTTATATATATATAAAAAAAAAGGTGTGAAGCAGCCTCAGGCAGGTCCTTTGGGAGGTATTCCAGAATAAGGCACTGTTGTCATAGGAGATGACAGCTCCATGTGTGCTATTGTCCCCAAAGACCTTCCAGAGGGACAAGATGTGGAGGAAGAAGACAGTGACATTGATGATCCTGACCCTGTGTGGGCCTACACTAATGTGCGTGTTTGTGTCTTAGTTTCTAACAAAAAAGTTTAAAAAGTAAAAAAATAAACAATTTTAAAAATAGAAAAGGCTTATGGAATAAGGGTATAAAGAAAGAAAATATTTCTGTATAGCCGTACAATGTGTTTGTGTTTTAAGCCAAGTGTTATTATAAAAGAGTCAAAAAGTTTTTAAAAAAAAGTTAGAAGTTTATAAAGTAAAAAAGTTACAGTAAGCTAAGGTTACTGTTAGTTCATTATTGAAGAAAGCAAACCATTTGCTTATAAATTTAACATAGTCTAAGTGTACAGTGTTTATAAAGTCGATAGTGGTACCCAGTAATGTACTTCACATTCACTCACTACTCACTGACTCACCCAGAACAACTGCCAGTCCTGCAAGCTCCATTCATGGTAAGTGCCCTATACAGGTGCACCATTTTTTATCTTTGATCATCTTATATCATATTTTGAATTTACCTTTTCTATGTTTAGATATATGAATACTTACCATTATATTACAATTGCCTATAGTATTCAGCACAGTGACATGCTGTACAGATGTGTAGCCTAGGAGCAATAGGCTACACCACAGAGCCTAGGTGTGTAGTAGGCTAGACCATCTGGATTTGTGTAGGTACACTCTATGACGTTCACACAGTGACAAAACTGCCTACCAAAAATGCATTTCTCACCATATAACCCTCCTATTAATAGAGGGGTGACACTACTGTAGTACATAGACTCACCTTTTCTAGAACTGTGGCTGAGTATCAATCTTCGGAGGCCTGGAGTCTAGACGGTCCCCAGTAGGCACACACAGTCCCGGTACACATCAAGCTGCCATAGAAGGAGTATTTTTGAGCTAGTTGGAAGTTTGGATTGTAGACATGCCCATTGGCTATCTCCTTCCATAGCTTGGGCATGTCACTTATTCTCCCAGAGCCTCAGTGTCTCCATCTGCAAAATGGAGATAAATAATACCTACCCTCTCACTACCTCAAAGGGTTGTTGGGGAAGCAAATGATATAATCTATGTAAAAACCCTTTGAGACAGTAAAACATGGTTCAAGGATAAGGTATTTACTCATCTGTAAAATGAGGAGGTTGGCCTAGATGAGATCTAATGTTCTTCTAATTCTAAAGTTCTACAACTCTGCTATTATCCTTATTATCTGATGATCATGCTAAAATTATGGGTTTTATGGAACTGAAACACCCTCCTCTCATCTTGCCAAGAAAATTTAATGTGAAGCTCTTATGCTGGGAAATACCACTTCCTAGGTGGTTTCCACAGAGACACCAACAACCATAAAGCTTTGCAGGAATGTGAACTGTTTGGGTTTGAATAGGAAATGGAAATTGAACCAAACCCCTAAAAAAGAACAAATGGTTTCTCTCTGTACGTTACATGTAAGTATGTAACTGAATCTCCCATTTGGTAACCTCTCTACTTTTTAAAATATTGCATATTATACTACAAATGCCAAATGATTTAACAGTGGCTTTAGAAAAGCACAGATAAAACTCAGAGGTTTAGAATGATGAGGTCTAGAGATTTTTTTCATTCCTAAATTGCCCTTCGGCCAGTGTTTTCTGTTCAGTAACTCTCTTGTGTTTTAGAAAAGTAAAAAGGAAGCATAGCCCTCTTCCTAGTGGTACTTCATCAAAAGCAGTACAGTTGATTACCAAGCACAGACTGGAACCATCGTGGACACTCACAGGGGGCTACCTATGTGTCGGGCACTGAGCTGACTGCTTTACTTGCATCCTCTCATTTCATTTTCACAAAATCCCTGGTGAGACAAGCACTCTTCTTGGCCCCATTATACAGACGAGAAACTGAGGCTCCAACAGGCTTGCTCAGGGTCCCATAGCCAGCAAACGGTGGCATTGGGGTTGGAAGTCACAGATCCTGGCTCCACACTTCTTCCTTGATATCACCTTGTGGTAGATTATCTCTGACTGCTTAGTGTGGTTCCCTAAAAACAGTTTTTCCAAAGAGAAAGACAACTTCATGACATGTATGAGGGGGAGGTGACTGGAAAAGGCTCTCAATAGAAACAGAGGCTCTGTGATAACTAATTTGCAAAATTAAGAATGAGGCGCGTGCTCAATGTTCTTTGAAGATACAAACGATCCATGTTTTCTGGAACCGCCAGCCTAAGACATCAAGAGGCATCATGTTTCAGGAAAGCCTCAGACATTCAAAAGCCCTGTTGCTCCATAAATGATAGGCCTCCTCATACCAGCTAATAAGGATTTGAGAGAAGACAGGAATTCTTTATCCAAAACCTGGCCTCTTTCTTCGCGGTTGACCAAAATATCAATTGCAGCTGTTTCTTCCCACAGTTCAGAGTGATAAAATTTGTGGAAAGTGAATGAGACCCTGTGGAAAAGATTTGCTCCCCATTTTCCAAGCAAAACCCTTTAATCAAATGTCTTTTTTCACATGTATTAAACAGACTTCATACACTCGGAGAAAAACCAAACAATCACATTAGATTCTCCTTTTTTTTTTTTTTGGTTAACTATAAATGTTTGTGAGGCACAAAAGCCCATAGTGGGGAAGAAAATAATAATACAGCTCAGTAACATACTGCTATTTCTAGAACATAATTACCAAGTGGAGAGATCAAGTGTCATGCATTTATTGAACACTTATTAAGTGCCTAGCTGGGTGAGATAGAAAATAAAGGCAGTAAGATCTTAATTACCAGATTCCAGAAGTAAACTTTGTAAAAACAGAGAAGTAAACAAGCTTTCTATGTAAAGTGTGCAAGCAAAACTGCCTAAGGGTAGAGAAGAACATTAAAGGGATGGAGGATTGTGAAGTGTCCTTCTCATGCCAAGTTCCTCCTTGGGGGACCTTACCCCATTCCAGCAGAGAGATACCTGTTTCCATTCTCAAATTCTCTTTACTTCTTAGGTGTGTAGTAGGCTAGACCATCTGGATTTGTGTAGGTACACTCTATGACGTTCACACAGTGACAAAACTGCCTAACAATGCATTTCTCACCATATATCCCTACTATGAATAGAGGTGTGATTCTGCTGTAGTACATAGACTCACCTTTTCTAGAACTGTGGCTGAGGATCAATCCTCGGAGACCTGGAGTCTAGACAGTCCCCAGTAGGCGCACACACAGTCCTGGGGACACATTAAGCTGCCATAGAAGGAGTAGTTTTGAGCTAGTTGGAAGCTTGGGTTGTAGACATGCCCATTGGCTGACTCCTTCCATAGCTTGGGCATGCCACTTATTCTCCCAGAGCCTCAGTGTCTCCATCTGCAAAATGGAGATAAATAATATCTACCCTTGGCCTGGCGCGGTGGCTCACGCCTGTAATCCTAGCTCTCTGGGAGGCCGAGGTGGGCAGATCATTTGAGTTCAGGAGTTCAAAACCAACCTGAGCAAGAGTGAGACTCCGTCTCTACTATAAATAGAAAGGAATTAATTGGCCAACTAATATATATAGAAAAAATTAGCCGGGCATGGTGGCACATGCCTGTAGTCCCAGCTACTCGGGAGGCTGAGGCAGAAGGATTGCTTAAGCCCAGGAGTCTGAGGTTGCTGTGAGCTAGGCTGACGCCATGGCACTTACTCTAGCCTGGGCAACAAAGCGAGACTCTGTCTCCAAAAAAAAAGTAAAAATAAAAAAGTAAATTAAAAAAATATATATATCTACCCTCTCACTACCTCAAAGGGTTGTTGGGGAAGCAAATGATATAATCTATGTACTGAGTGAAACTCTGTTTTCACTCAGTGGATGCTGTGGTGGGTTCCCTGCATCTGTGGTTAGGAGCTGAGAGTGCAAAGAGGGACTGGAGGCCACTAATGAGCTACGGTTCCAACCAGTATGTATGTAAGCTGCCCTCCTCTCCCACCTCCCCAGTCCAAACAGAGTATGATAACCAGTCATTCACACTGATGAATGAATTGGCTGATTATGAGTCAGACAAAGCTCATTCACACTAACATGTGACCTCCACCATGCTTCGGCATTTTAAGTCTGTTTCTTCCAATTGTGGAAAAGGAGTTTCAGATAGGAAGAAGAAAGGGAGGCTAGAATCCCTCAGTCCTGCTTATCTAGCTGGCTCTGAAAGTCTCAGCTCAAATGTCACCTCTTCAGAGAGCCCTTCTATGACACTTGCTCTAATGGTGGTCCTCTATTACATTACGCGGTTTTATTTTATTCACAGCACTTACCATTATCAGAAGTTATCTTGTCTATTTCTTTATCGTATGCACTTTTCTCTAAATAGCATGAGAGCAATGACCTAGGGGTATGATTTGAATGCTTGTGTCCCTCCAAAATTTATATTGAAGCTTTAATTCTCAACACAATAGTATTAGAAGGTCGAGACTTTAGAAGGAGATTAGGTCATGAGGGCTCTGGCCACATGCATGGGATTTGTACTTTTACAACAGGGCTTGAGGGAACTAGCTAGTCCTTTGTTGTACTTCCATTTCTTCTGTTGTGTGAGGACACAGCAAAAAGGTGCCATCTCGGAAGCCGAGAGCAGCCCTGACACCAGACATCAAATCTGCCAGCACCTCGATTTTGGACTTTCCAGCCTCAAGAATCATAAGAAATAAATTTCTGTTGTTTATAAATGACCCAGTCTAAGGTATTTTGTTATTACAGCAGGAACAGACCAGGACATCTTGTCAGTTTTGTTTCCTACTCTGTCCCCAGGGCCTAACATAATTAGCTAGAACAGAGTGTCATTGTTGAATGACTGAATGAGCAAATAAATATATTTGACAACCTGATTTAGCTCCTTAAGAGTGGTTGGTACTGCCCCTTTCTGTTGTGCTTCTGTGAATGAGGTTCCAATAACTCATGAAAATATTGTACAGTAGCAAATAGATCCTGGGGCTAAGACTCAGAAAACCTCAGTTCAAGTATTGACTCTGCTCCTTAGACAAATCCCTAAAATTCTGTGACTTTTTTTTTAATCTACAAAATTTAAGATGGTAATTGTTGCCTTACTTGTTCTTTTTTTTAATAATTGGGAGGGTAAAAATGCAATAAGAGAGCATGAACGTATTTTGTTAACTCTAAAGAGTTGTATAAATGCAAGCTACTCTATGACTGAATCAAGGTAAAGTACAAGCTCACCTTCTGAAGGAGAATGCACTGTGCTCAGGTATGTCTGCTCCTAGGGTAGCAGCTACCTAATTAGGGTGTCCAGAATCATTTGCCAAGACTAAAACTATACCTTTTTTTAGTAAACCAGCACATATTGTATTATATCAGTATCTTCCTTCTATTTATAAACAACACAGTAAAAGGCAAGGGTTGAAAGAAAACAAACTCTTGGGAAGCCAAGACGGGAGGATCACTTGAGGCTAGGAGTTTAAGACGCGAACCTGGGCAGCACAGTAAGAACCTATCTCTACAAAAAAATAAAAAATAAAAATAGTTGGACATGGTGGCAAGCACCTGTAGTCCCAACTACTTGGGAGGCTGAAGCAGGAGGATTTCATGAGCCCAGGAGTTCAAGGTTGCAGTGGGCTATGGTCCTGCCACGGCACTCCAGCCTGGGTGGCTGAATAAGAGCTTGTCTCAAAAACAAACAAAAACCAAATTGTGTACTGTTACACTTTAGGAGTTCAGCCTATGTAAGTACTTGTGTTCATTGAGTTCCATTTATTTTGTTCTATCTCACTCCTTGAGTTTCTTTAAGATCGTCTTATATCATTTGAGGTCCTTGGGCCAGAGCCATTAGAAAAACACCTTGATCACTGTTCCCTAATGCACCTGCCCACCTATCTCACCTGGACCAGGAGAGCCCACTCTGAACATCTCTAAGCTTCCTCATTTGCTGTTAGTCTGTGTCTTTTTCCAGAGACCTGTCCCTTTGGAAAGAGCAGAGTGCAGATGTGCAGCAGATCTGCACCCTGCCCCCCTGTTTATGTCTGCCTCTGTATCTTGCAACCCAAAAGGGCTTGGTTTTTTTTTTTCTCCAGTGTTTTAAAGATTTGCTACTCAGTAGTTCCTCAGACCAGCAGCATCACTTGGAACTTGTTAGAAATGCAGAATTGCAAGCCCTTTTTTGACCTACAGAATCTGAATCTGCCTTTTCAAGAGATCCCCAGGGATTCAAGTGCACATTAAAGTTTGAGAAGCACTGTTTTGAAAATCACCATACCAAAGACACATTTTAAAACCAGTAATTTGAAAATTTATTGTGTGTAAGAGTCACTTGGGATGCTCCTTCAACATGCAAACTTTCTGTCTCACCCAATGTAGATGCTGAGTCAATATTTCTACAGATAAACTAATCCCCAGGCCACAGTTTTAAGAAACACACCTTTAAAAACAATAAGTATAGGCTAGTCATGGTAGCTCACACCTATAATCCTAGCACTCCAGGAGGCCAAGGCAGGTGGATTCTCTCAAGGTCAGGAGTTCGAAACCAACCTGAGCAAGAGCAAGACCCCATCTCTACTAAAAATAGAAAGAAATTAATTGGCCAAATAAAATTATAGAGAAAAAATTATCCAGGCATGGTGGCACATGCCTGTAGTCCCAGCTACTTGGGAGGCTGAGGCAGAAGGATTGCTTGAACCCAGGAGTTTGAGGTTGCTGTGAGCTAGGCTGACACCACGGCACTCACTCTAGCCTGGGCAACAAAGTGAGACTCTGTCTCAAAAAAAAAGAATAAGTATAGTGTCTTCACTGTGCTCTAACATTTTAGCATGTTAGGGGCACTCACTTTTGACATACTTTGTCTAGATATAAGTTCAATAATCTTAATTTTTTTCTCTTTTCTGAAAAACTCCCTAAAGGATTCCTTAAACAAAGCTCCTAGATATTCAAACTTCTTCCCTACATTTTCCCAGGGCCAAAAGATTCCTTCAACTTTTGCTGTCTAATGTGTGTCTTAACCTCTGTCCTCCAGCTGTGTACACTTTCTGAAGATGGTCCCAATGCTCATTGGCTCTCCTGACAAGGCAGGCAAGTGAGCAAGTGAGCACTGTCTCAATACAGTTCTTTGCCTTGAATCTGACCAGCAGGTACATCAATCACACTTTTCTCTCTGTACCTGCTGAAGGAAGGGGATGAAAAAGAAGGATATGAAAAATTTGAGAAAAATGTTTTTAATGACTATTTTAGTGGGTTCCTGACACTTGATTTCTTTCCTCGCTCCCATCTCCCTGCAATAGGAATGTGCTCACAAATCTCTCCAAGCTGAGATGGCTCGATGCCTACCTGGGGTGCCCTGTGACTTTGATGCTCCCCAGAAAACCACACTTCCCAGCATTCATGCCTTTGTGTAGCCCTTTCCCCATGTTGATCCTGGCCTTGGCCAAGTGACCAGCTTTGGCCCATGGGATGTTGGCAAATGCAACATAGCAAAGCCTTGAAAAGCACATTAGAGCTAATCTTTGTGGGACACTCCTGCTCAGAATCCAGTTGCCATTCCATGAGAAAGCCCAAGAGACCATGTGAAGGAAAACTGAGGTCCCAGACAACAATCCCCAGCTGACTCTAGCCAGGGACCACCACCAACTACCAGCTCTACGAGTCGGGCCATTTCAAACCTTTCGGCCATCCTAGTACTCCAGCTAAGTAGAAGAACCATCTGTCAACCCACAGAACTATAACAAATAATAAATTATAATATGTTGTTGTTGTTTTAAGCCATTATGTTTTTTTTTTTTTTTTGAGACAGAGTCTCACTTTGTTGCCCAGGCTAGAGTGAGTGCCATGGCGTCAGCCTAGCTCACAGCAACCTCAAACTCCTGGGCTCAAGCAATCCTCCTGCCTCAGCCTCCCGAGTAGCTGGGACTACAGGCACAAGCCACCATGCCCGGCTGATTTTATATTATATATATTAGTTGGCCAATTAATTTCTTTCTGTTTATAGTAGAGACGGGGTCTCGCTCTTGCTCAGGCTGGTTTTGAACTCCTGACCTTGAGCAATCCGCCCGCCTCGGCCTCCCAGAGTGCTAGGATTACAGGCGTGAGCCACCGCGCCCGGCCGTAAGCCATTATGTTTTAATGTGGTTTGTTTTATAGCAAAAGATAAACCCAATATCCATCTCCCCTTTTCCTGTAATAGAACTTCAACTCTATTTGGTATACAATGCACCCACGTAAAAATCCACATTTCCTTACCTTTCTTTCAGATGGGAGTGGCCATATGACACAGTTTGCCAATTAAATGAAGATGCTGGGGACGGCTTCCAGAAAATCTCCTGAACAGGGGAAGTTGTCTGTGGCTGTCCACTCTTTCCCTTCCCCCTGCTGGGACACAGACTTGCTGCTGTGAGGGGTAAGCCACCCTACACCAAAGAGTGGAAAAATAAAGAGACTCGCAAAGGCTTCAGTGCTGACATTTTTGAGCCACTGATCCCAATTCAGCAGCTTTTCAAAATATGAAGAAAACAAGCTCCTATTTTATTAAAGGCGCTGCTACCTCATTACAGGCAGCTGATTTGGATGCTAAGGATTCCCCCTTCATTAGCATGGGAGCCGCATGGTACAGTTATCCTCCAACCTGTCTGCACTCGAGAACAGCAATCCCTGTGGATGAGGTAGAGTTTACAGAACTTATATTTTGGTTGCTGTAGCTTCATAAGATTTCAGCAGAATAGTAGGTTTTGTGCCCATTTTCAAGGGCACAGCTTGCCGGTCAACAAGGCTCGGCAAAGCCACAGACTAGCACTAAAGAGCTAGAGAGTAATACGAAGTCATTTGCTGCTGCTTTTGTTAACTTTCTGTCCATGGATGTCTACGTGTCCTTTCTCCTAATAAGATGGAAGCTTTCTGAGGGCTGAGGACATTTCATATTTCTTATTTCTTTGTGGGTGCAACGTTGTGCCTTACATATTAGTCAATAAATAAAATTTCCATTTAAGACTTAGCAAATAGTATCCTATAAATGTGTAAACCATGGCCTCTGACCTCTTTAATGACCGTAGAATTAATTATACATTCCACTATTTCTTCCCAGACTTTATGGGTCTCTTACGTTTCTCCATGTTAGTACTACTTATTGATAGTGATATTATTTGTTTAGCTCTTACTCTGTGCCAAACACTATTGTACATGCTTCATATATATTAATTATTTAGTCTCCAAAATAATCCAAGAGGCAGATACTAATGTTACCCCCATTTGGCAGACAAAGAAACTGAGGCCAAGAGAGATTAAGTAACTGACCCCTGAAAACACAGCTACTAAGTACAAAAACCAGGGTTTAAATGTACTGTCTGACAGAGTATTTCTTCTTGGTGTGGCTTGTTTTAAAAATGCTTTCATTTCTCATCTTTACTCCACGTTTAAAAACAAAGAGGAATGAACGAGAGTTCAACCCTGATTGCTTCCCAGTGGCTGACAACTGCTTGGGGCTGCAGAAGCCTGTTCTCCGGGTCATGCTGCGAGGACCTGCCTGGATACGGCTTCTCCGTTCTCGCTGGCCTTCTGCACAACTGGTCTCACACAGGCTATTCACAGATTTCTCCGAAATGCCCCTCTAATCATTTTCCATCCCTCTAAAACAAACGTGCAAGTGGGAATGCCCAGACTTGGAGCAGAAGGCAGCGTGGTCAGGGAGGGAGAAGGAGCCCACAGGGCGTTCTCGCAATTCATATTTGTTAATACGAGTGTGTTATGTTAGACGTAAATGGAGAGGCCTCTTAAGACTCACAGTTTAAATAAAAATGTTTTAAAATACTTCCCAGAAGCCGGCAAAGCAAATAAGAGAGCCACTCTGATCTCCACCACCCTGTCTTTGGCCCTGGCCCCTGGCTCTTTTGGCAGGAAGTTTCCCAGAGTAACTCCGTGCCAACTGACTTTGTCTTCTGGTCCTCTCAAAGGGCCTCCAAAATACCCTTCCCTGTTACATAATCTGAAAGGACAAACTCCCCTCTGGTTGGCCAATAGCGGCCTCCATGTCCTTCACTCCATAACCCTACCTCCCCCCTTTTATTGGTCTGTGGTCATGGCGCCAATTCGTCTCCTTGCCTTTGTGCTCTCTCTTCCAGGAACCCACAGGAGGAAGTCGCCACGGCCTCCCTTCCTGCTTCTGCTGGCTTCCGTGGGCCTTGCCTCTCCTGGCTCAGCTCTGGTGAATGGATGATCTCACAGTGATCTCTCTGGCTCCCCGAATTCCAGCCCTCACCTTTCTTCTGGCACATCATGGAACAGCCAGAAACATTTTCACAGTCTTGATCTTATTCTGAAACTCAAACAGGAAGTTCTAGCTCAAGAAATTGCAGGACTCTGAAAGAGAAGGCAAAGGAAGAATGATAACTTTAACTTAGAAGAATCTTAATCCCAAATATGAGGAAGCTGCTTAAGGTGCATATTTGGATAGTTGGAGGAATTTGTATTAAGGCAAAACAAACAAGAACTTGTGGAATTTTGTTAAATATCTTCACAGTAGTACAGTCATATATCTTAAGCACTAACAATATGCTGTGGAAACTGTCTCTTAAAAATGTGTTCACTCACACAGTAGAAAGACCAATTTTGAAAACAACAAGCAATGTACTTCTTATAGTCTACTAAAGATTTTTAAAAAGAGCAAACAAAAATGGAAACGTGAAAACGGATAACAGAAGCCAAATGGCTACAGAGCCTTTGAAAAAACATAAACAAGAAGCCATTAACAGATTTGAAATAACTCATCAGCATAAGTAGCACACAGCTTTGCTATGGGTGTACTTTTTGGAGAAGGAAGGAACACGAATTAAAATATCTCATAAGCAGAAGTTGATCTCAATGAGGAAAACAAGAATCTCGTAGCTCAGGTTTAATGCCATAACAGAAAACAAGTGTACTAGGCCAACAAAAATAGCAGCTTGGTTTACAATCACTCTGTCAAGAAATCTTTCTGGAGCATCGTCTTTTGCAAGGCTCACTGCAAGATCCACTCCACCCTCCTTACCTAATCTCACTCTGCTTGCAATGCCAAGTCAAGAGCCAGATGCTATTTATGGGACAGTCAATAAAGCACTTCCTGATGATCGAGATAGAGAGAGTAAAATACCAGAGCCTGGGCCCCAAACCAGACCACTATAATCAATATTCTAGGGTATGGAGCTAAGATTTTTAAAGGCAAGTGATTCTAATGGGCTGCCAAGATTGTGATCCACTGAAGAGGAAGCAAGAAAAGGTGAACCTGGCGTACTTGTGGATCTATATGCCACGTTACTGCTCCTGGCTCTCTGGAGCTTTGTGAAAATCCCTTCTCTGAGTCTTCTGATAACCAATCAATTGCCTTCTGGATGTTCATGAACTCTTCACATTGCCCTCCTCTACTGCCTTAATTGGAGAATAATTGGAGAAATTCTGGAATTTCCAATCTGTACAGCAGAACAACCGACTTGGCAGCACAGATGGCTATCAGGATTATCTTAAAATCTTCCTTCTGAAGAAGGAAAGGCCACCAAGATCGAGCTTTTCATGTCTGGTTGCTTGTTCCAAGGTCGATGCCACCTGAGTCCCATTCCTCTCATAGCCAGTCCTCTGCTTGCAGAACTGGGAGAAGAAATGAGATCAGTATGGAGAGTCCTTTGTAAATAGAGGCAGCTCGAAGACAATGCAGAAGAGTGTTTCAAAGAACCACACTAGAGTCAGGCATCAGAGCTTCGATTCTTGGCTCCACTCTTCCTGGTTCTATGATTTGGGCAAATTGCTGAATCTATTTGAAACTCAGTTTCCACATCCCTAACAGGCTCTTACTATATCCCAGTTGCTGTGAGGATTAAGAAAACCCACTAAATTCTCAATCTATATTGGCTCTTAGGCAGATAGTGTTGCACAGCAGTTAGAATGTAGGCTCTGGAGCCAGACTGCCCTAGTTTGGACCCCAACATTGCTACTTGCTAGCTGTGTGGCTTTGGGCAAGTTACTTAATGTCTCTGTGTCCCAGTTCCCTCTTGTGCCCCAAAGACATAATGATATCTATATGGTTGATGGAAAGATTAAACGACTCAACATTAGGGTTGCTGACATCTCAGTTTGCTTAGGACAGTTCCAGTTTATGCCTTTAGTCCTCCTATTCCGGTTGGCTTAGAATTTGCCTACCCCTTTCAAAAGTGTTCCAGATTAGACAATTAAGTGTATAATCACTGTAGTTAATGTATATATCACTTAGAAAAGTGTTTGGTATAGAATAAATGTGTGTTAACTGCTAATTTTAAACCCTACAGCAGTGTTATCAAATAGAAATATTGGACATATAATAATTTTTAATTTTCTAGTAATCACATTTTTAAAAGTAAAAAAGAAATAGGTGAAATTGGTGATAATAATATATTTAACCCAATATATCCAAAATATTGGCATTTCAATGCATAATTAATATAAAAAAGTATTAGTGGGACATTTTTCATTTTTTAATACATTAAGTTTTTGAAATCTGGTGTGTTTTGCATTTACAGCACATCTCAATTCAGACTAGCAACATTTCAAGTGCTCAATAGCCACATGTGGCCAGTGGCTACCACACTGGACAGCACAGCTCTGAGGATTTACATTCCTCATATATGATAATGGGCCAGAGAGTCTTAAGGCCTCCTCAGGTCTGTACTACCAAGCTTGACATGCTTAGCTTCTCTGCCACTCTCTGCAAGCAAGGCACTGATGCATGGCTCTGGCATGTATTTATTGCCAAAGATCTTAGCTTCACTTCCTGAGCAGGTGCCCAGCCTTACTGAGATGGAAAATGCAGTAACCTACACTTAGAGAAATCCCTGCTGGCTTCCTGGCAAATGGAAAAACCATAGTGTTTGCAGGCTGCTTTATTACTATGGTCTTGCTAATTATGAAAAGCAATGCTAAGGTTATTTTATTAATTTCTCCTTTGTTACAGATTCTTTCTTTTTGGAAACATCCCCAGGAAAATACAAAAAGTGATTTTTCTATGATATTTTCTATGAATATTTTTCTATGAATTTCTATGAATATCTTCTATGAATATTTCTATGAAAATACAAAAAGTGAATGTTTCTATGAATATTTTCTATGAATATATTTCTATGAAGCTTTCTTTTCTGTGCAAAGGACACAGAGCTAACCAGTAGAAGGGAGGAGCTTTGGTGAATAAAACTGTCTAAGTCATAGCTGGACAACTTGACTAGAATGCACGAAAGAGCCGGCCCACATTAGATGTGGGCAGAAAGCTTTTTTGGGTAGATTATCACCCTCCATCTGATTGTGTTATTGGGTTTTTATTCCATTCTCTGGACTGGGTCCAATATTTTCACATTCTTCTAAATCATGGTGCCTCTGACTAGATCCAGAAGTGCAGATAGATCACGACCAAACACCAAATTAAGTGGACAGTTACTTTTTGGCTCTGGTGTGATATCTACCTCTACTTCCTCCTTTAGGGACAGTTTCTTTCTTTCTTTCTTCTTTTCTTTCTTTCTTTCTTTCTTTCTTTCTTTCTTTCTTTCTTTCTTTCTTTCCTTTCTCTCTTCCTTCCTTCCTTCCTTCCTTCTTCCTTCCTTCCTTCCTTCTTCCTTCTTTTTTCTTTCTCTTTTCTTTTTTTTTTTTTTCTGAGACAGAAGTCTCACCTCTGTTGTCTGCGCTAGAGTGCCGTGGCATCAGCCTAGCTCACAGCAACCTCAAACTCCTAGGCTCACGTGATCTCTCTGCCTCAGCCTCCGAGTTGCTGGGACTACAGGTATCCCATCTACGCCCGGCTAATTTTTTCTATTTTTAGTTGTTTTGGCTAATTTCTTTCCTATATATTTAGTAGATGTGGGTCCCTCTCTTGCTTAGGCTGGTCTTCTTGAAACTCCTGAGCTCAAGCAAGTTCTCCTGCCTCGGCCTCCCCCAGAATGCTAGGATTACAGGCATGAGTCACTGCGCCCTGCCTCTTTCTTTTCCTTTTTTCTTTTTTTTGAGAGAGAGTCTCACTCTGTTGCCAGGCTAGAGTGCCTCTGGCGTCAGCCCTAGCTCTACAGCAACCTCAAAACTCCTGGGCTCAAAGCATCCTCCTGCCTCAGCCCTTCCCAAGAGCTGGACTACAGGACATCGCCACCTTATTGCCTCGTTAATTATTTTCTCTTATAATTTTATTTGGCCAATTAATTTCTTTCTATTTTTATGGAGACAGGGTCCACTCTCTGCCAGGCTGGTTTTCAAGACTCCTGATCTTGAGCGATTCCTCCCTGCCTTCTGGCCTCTCCAGAGTTGCTTAGGTATTTACAGGTCCTAGGGATCACGTTCTTGTTACTTTCTCAACAGGTCTTTTTTTTCGTCCTCTCTTATACTTAAGATTGTTCCTAATTCTATAGAAAGAACCAAATTGAACTGATGACATTATTGCCAATGGATTATAAGTGCATGATATTTATTTATTATCAAATATATGAAATTTGAGCACTGTGGATTCTATTGAATTTTCTATTTTTATGGGTCCGCCTGATTCCTGGGTGGTAACACTTCTGGGTTTACTACATATTTGGTATGACAAATCGTTACTTGACCCCACTTAAATATTGATTATATGAACAATGTTTTGCCCTGAAATTGTCAATGGGTCATGTTTTGCTTGCCGAAGGGTCTTCAAACTGTGAGAATGAATTAGTGATTTTAGAAATTCGATAAACGTTTTCAGTAGGCCTATTACTTATTTGATGTTCTCTTTTTTACTGTGATGTTGAAAAGTGGATCCAGGAGGGTTCTAAATACACTTACAAAGTAAACAGTAAGCAAAGTAAGTGGAAAAAAAGGGGTCGGGAAACCTCATCTCCTTGCTGTTAGTATTATTTATCTTACATTTGACACCACAGTTACTTGATATTTTTGATTGAATGAATAACATGTGTTTGTCCATAATGGCGTTTGGACTACACATATTAGTGGTCCCTTTCTCATTCTTGCTTCCTTCACTCAAACCCTTTTACTTGGGTGTGGTCTCCATCCAAGATGGCATCAATGAATTTAAATCATTTCCTAAGAGGCTGGGAAAAAAAAAAAAAAAAAAAAAGAAAAGATGCTCTTCAACCCACAACTTTTTTATTTAATGACCTACAGGTGGGCAAACTTCCAGTCTTGTTACTCTATAGAACACAGGTTGTTTTGAGTTTCAGAAGGGCGGACGTGGAAAAGGATCCTGGCCCAGCCAAGGAACAGTAAGAGTCGTTCCCTCCACTTGTTGTGGAGCCTCACTAGAGTTAGGTGTGCTGATAAGAGAGGGTAGGATCATAAACTAAGGGGAATAGCACACAAGCCACCCATGGGAGCCTAAGAGCTGACATAGGCAGGTAAGCTCTTTTGGAGGTGGCTGTGACAGAGAAAAAAGAAGAGGGACAAGGCCTCTGTGAATCAATAGCTGATGTGTGTGTGCCTTAGACAATCATTGTTTAATGTTTATTATTTTAACTCCTCCAACTTGTCAACTGTTCCTACAGAATCCACACGTGTTAAATTTCCAAAGACACTATCCTACACCTTGTACCATGCTCCAAATCCTATCTTCCCAGCTGGCCCTGTTTGAATGAGATCAAACTGTTAAAAGCAGAACAGAAAACTCACAACTAGCAGTATTGTTCCGCTAAACTACCCATCATTAACATGAACCACCTGGAAACACTATTGTAGAAATTGCCAGCATGAAATCAAAAAAAACGTTTGCCTGTCCACATTTCTTCTAAAGTGTGATTTTATTTGAGAGAGGGATGAAGGACAGGAAGAGGAGTGTACACCTTGCTTTAAACTAGCTTGTTCATCACTTCCCTAAGGAGTCTGCTGCATGATATTAGCAAGTGAAGGCCATTCCGCTAGTTAGGCAGCTTTTGTTCCCTAATAGTGAAGTTCACCTGTCAGCTGAGACAGCTAAGACAGGCTGTTCCCTTGGGGGAGAGGAAGGGTCAGGAGAGTTGGGGGAAAGAACAGAGAAAGTCTGACGTGTAGATGTTAAAATATAGCCAAAACGTTATGAACTGAACTGTTAGGGCGAATTTCACTTTTGTTGGAGTTGGCTCCCCCCTTCTTTAGGTTCGTTTGACTTAGGGTAGTTCCCAGAAAAGGACTTCATACCACTTATTTATTCTAGCAAGCTTTCTTCTCCGTGCAAAGGACACAGAGCTAACGGGGAGAAGGGAGGGGCTCTGGTGAATAAAACTTTCTAAGTCATAGCTGGACAACTTGACTAGAATGCATGGAAAAGCCGGCCCACGTTAGATGCGGGTAGAGAGCTTTGAAATCCTTGGAATTAGTGGAGGAACCCATCATGGTTCAAAGGTCAGGTGTCAGTGGGCTGGGAGGGGGAGAGGCTGCAGGGCACTGGGGGCAGTGAGCCTGGGCGTTCCCATCCGGAGTGTAGCCTGTCAGTTCGGGCTGTAGGCTTCTCCTCCGTACCTCCTTAGAACTGCCGTTCCCGCTGGGAGTCTGGTCTGGCCACCTGAGGAGTGTTAGGAAACAGTCACTCCAACCAGTGGCTTCAGTCCAGAGAATGCGAGCACGCTCTAGTGTGCTTTCTGTTCGCTCATTCTGGACAACATAACCAGTTTGATTCTGGTCAGAAGGGGCTGGGATCAGTGACCTGCAAACACCCGCCAGGACCACAAACGACTTTGGACACTGACCAGAAATGAATACTATTTGGGATCTCATCCGTCCTAAACCCAGGGGTCAGAGCGCGTGGTTTCCACGAACTTCGGGTTAAGACGAGGAAACAGATCCGCGGAGAAGGGTCCCACGATCCGTGCAAAGTAAAGGGCAGCCGCGGACGCCCGGAAGGCGCGGGCCCCGGGGATGGGGCGGCCGCGGGGCCGGGCCGGGCGCCCGGAGCACCTCCCGCAGGTCCCGGCCGGAGCGCGGGGCGGGGTCACCTGACTCGCGGAATTTGGGGCCGCGCGGGGTGGAAGGGGAGGGGAATGGCTAGCACCTCCCTTCCCGCTCCCGCTGGATGCAGGTCGGCGGGGGCCGGCGCCCGGCGGCCACGTGGTGGTGCTGCCGCTGCCCCCGCCCCGCCGGCCCAGCCCGGGAGCCGCGGCGCCCACTGACCCCCGCAGCGGGGGAGGAGGAGGGACGGAGGCGCAGGAAGCCGAGCAGGAAGCGAGCCCGGCGGCCGCGTTTTCCTGGGGAAGCGGCGGGCGGGGCGGCGCAGCCAGCGGGGCCGGGGGAGCCGCCGCCTGGATGGGGTGAGTGCGCGGCGCCGGAGTCGGGAGGCGCCCCGCGCGGGGTCCGGGCTCGCGTCCCCGCCTTTGTGTCTGGGGTTCGGCGAGGGGGGCGGCGGGGCGCTGGGGACGGCGGCTGAGCGGGGCGGCCCCGAGGGTCCCGCCACCGCTCCCTGGTCTGTCGCCGGCCGCCAACTGTGTGCGGACGGCAGTTTGGGGGCGAGAGAAAGGGAGGATGGCGGGCGTCCGGGCGGAGAGGGAGGACCCCGCCAAGTTAGGAGAAGGGACCCCGCGCCTGGCAGGCCGGCCGGGGCAGGGCGCGGGGCAGGGGCCGCGGGCTTGCTGCGCAGGGAGCGCGAGTGGGAATGAATGGGCGCCCGGGAGGGCCTTCTGGGTGCGCCCTCGAGTGAGCACCCTGTCCCACCTGCTCTGTCCTGCCCGCGCCCCGCTCCCCGCGTCCCTGCTTCTGAGCGCGACCCGCCCCCGGCTGAACTTGGAGAGCAGGGGAGGGAGGCGCGAGCGGGAGACTCGGGAGATCCAGGGTCCGCTATTGTTCCTTTCCTGACTCCGGGAAGCCCGTCGGCTGGCCCGAGGGAGCCGGCGAGACCACTCCGGGCCTGCCACTGCCCCTGCCCGCTCGTCGTTTTCCCCGCCGCAGCTCGGAGAGGGAGGAGGGATGCTGGAGTTGGGGCAGACTCGGGGCCGCTTCGGGAGGTAGGCGATGTGGAGGGCGGGACGGGCGCCCGCCATCGACCGCGACCCTGCCCCGGGGTGGGGGGGCGGGGTGTCTCCTCCTTGGGCAGGTTTGCGTCCGCGGTCTAGTGTCTGCAGTTTGCAGGGCTCACCCGCTAACCCCTTTGGGTTTCGCATCCCCCTTTTGTGGAGGGGGCTCAGAGCCTGGAGAGGCAACAGACGGGGGATTACGGCAGACGGAGCTCAGTGTAACGCGGAGGGGGCAGAAGGGACCTCACCCGGGCCGGAGCGTGGCTGTGCAGCCAGGCTCCCCTTTATTTTGCAAGGAGCCCAGCCCAGCCCAACTTTACTTCCAGTGATGACTGGGGCAAAGCTCCAGACTCAGGGCCGCTCACCTGAGGACCAGCGAGTCCTTTCGCTGCAGGCTCACAGGTGATTTGGGTGGGACTCCGTCTTCCTTCGGGGAGAGAAGAGTCCTGAGCTGCCTGGGACGGGGAATCATTGCTAGTTCTCTGGGGAATGTGATCTCAGGGCCTGCAGAGAGAGGAACTGTCCATCAGTAGGACACAGAAGAGCGAGGAGAGTCCCGTCTCCTTGAGGTTTGGACGGAGTTGGAGAAGAGACGGTGACTCACAGGCTGGATTTGATTGCTCTGTCCCCAGCGTGCAGGGCACTGCTCACTCCTGAGGCGGGGAGTTTTATTACCAATGGATATAATCTGATAATCTTTTCTTAATGTTGCCTAACAAATGTAATTCCTCCTCCCCACCTCTGCGGGGTTGTAAGGCAGTCGATTTTATGCGAGGAAATTTATCCAGTCCTTATCTTTATCCAGTGCTTGCGTAACGTGGATTGGGACGTCCGCCTGATGCTGGGCTGTGACACAATTTTCATCTCCCTTCACTGAGATGCTTCATTAATGAATTTATTGTATCATTTACACTCTTTAGGTTTGTTTTGTGGGGTTTTTTTCGGGGGCAGGGGGAGTGGTAGTTGTAACCCTGTTGAGAAAGAAGTCCTATTACTGGTATCTGTGAATTTAAAAGAATGGATGGTGAGCCCCTCCCCCACCCCAGGATTTCAGTGGGGAAATCGTATAGTTTCTCCCCTCCTCCCCCAAGACACGCCCTAGTGGCGTCCCTGACAGTGAAATTCTTCAGACTTCTACTTCTCAAGGTATGATGAGGCAGGTACACCTACTGTCCCCAAGTTTTAAAGGTGAAGGAACAGATTTGGAGGTAAGGACAATGGGGTCTTGGAGTTGATAGAAAGTAGTAAAGAACTTTTGTCCCTCCCTCCCTCCCTTCCTTTTTTCCTTTTAAAATAAAAGCAATTAGCCAGCCTTGGTGTCATGCTTCTGTGGTCCCAGCTACTTGGGAGGCTGAGGAGGAGTATCTCTTTAGCTCAGAAGTTTGAGACCAGCTTAGGCAACATGGTGAGACCCCCATCTTAAAAAAATAATAAAAATATGTATGAAGTATTTCTAATATACGTAAGGTAATACAGTAAGGCATCCCTTTTTCTACCTAGGTTTAAGAGCTGCTAAGGTTTTCATATTTACTTCATATCTGCCCTAATAAAAATTGTAACTAAAATATTCATACCTCTTGCTTTGCCTCATCCTCAGGTAACTACCAATGTGGAGTTAGTACATGTAGTTCCCAGCCATGTTTTGGTACTTGTGTATGTTATACAGTATATCCACAACAATTATATGTGAGTTCATTTTTGACATTTTACATAAATGGCTTAATTCTATATTCATACAGTGTGCATTTTAAAGCTTATCCTTAGATTTTTGAGGTATATGTAGATATTCATTTTAGCTAGTATGGAGAATTCTAATGTATGAATAAATTATAGTATACTTATTCCCTTGCCAAGAGAAAATTAGAGTTTTCAGTTTTACAGTGTTATAATTTTTCTGCTGAGGGACAGTCTGTTTCCACTTTTTTTTTTTACTATAGTTAAACAGTGATACAGTTAACATCCTGAGACATATTTCCTAGTGCACAAATTGTTCTGTTACCTGTACAATTAATTACTGGGTAGTGAAGTCTAGGTAATGCTGCATTTATAATTTCATTCATTCCTCAACAAATATTGAGGATGTTTGTAAGGTCTCTTTTTGTACTCTGTTGAATACAAAAGTGAACTTTTTTTATTCAACTTGGTCAACTTTAAGGTCCAAAAAGATTACATTAGTTGGCTGGATTATTTTTTGCTTTTTCCCATTTTTTTCTTAGTAAGAAAAATGCTTGTTTGTTTTAAAATTGAAGCATGAGACAAAACTGGTGCTAAATTCAGGATACTTGTGCCTTTTCTGAGCCAGTCACCAGTTGTGTGACCTTGGATTACTCACTCAACCTCCTCTTCCTCATTTCTTCCTTGGTAAGATTAAGGGGTTCCAGTAAGCATTTACAAAGCCACATTCCTGCTCTAAGAGTTTATGAAAATGTGTCTGTGTTATTCAAATTTTGTCCCTCATGGTAACCCTTTAGACAGAAGGAGTTTAAAGCATTTAAACACTTTGGCTTCTTGATTATTCCTTCAAATTACCAGGCACATTCCTGCCTCAGAGCCTTGCTCTTTACACTACCTAAAGAGCACTTCCCCTAGATAGCTACGTGGCTGTGCCTTCACTTCTCAGGTTGTGCTCAGATACCTCTACCCAGTTCACCCTGTGACCTTTGCCCTGCTTTATTTCCTCCAAAGCACTTCCAGCTTATGGTATATGTGTGAAATATCCCTTACCCAAAGTGCTTGGGACCAGAAGTGTTTCAGGTTTCAGATGTTTTTGGATTTTGGAATATTTGCATTATATACTTAAGCATTCCTAATCCAAAAATCAGAAATGCTCCAACGATCATTTCCTTTGAGGGTCATGTTGGTGCTCAAAAGGTTTTGGATTTGGGAGTGTTTCAGATTTTGGATTTTTGGGTTAGGGATACTCAACTTGTATTTTAATTTATATTAGTGTTGTCTGTCTTTCTGTAGTAGAGTATGAGCTCCATGAAGGCAGGATTTTGTCACTTTTGTTCACTATTATATTCCTAGTGTCAACAACAATGTTGACACATAATAAACAACTGTTGAATGAATGAATGAATATTTTTTTTGTTGTGATTTCCTGCTTGAAATTTCTCTTTTAACATCTGTTGGATATCCTAAATGGTGCTAGTTGTTCCATGGCTGTAAGTGCCCCACACGTCCTATTTACAGGTCCTATCAGGATAAAAAACAGTATGTCTTATAAAGAAACCACTCTATTTAGATCCCTATGAGTTATCTCACAAGCTACTTTGTCTTCAAATTTTTATGCCAGCATTTTGCCTAATCCTGGAGTCAGAGGAAAACATAAATAACTTGATGCTTGGAGATACACTCACCTTTCCTTTTCTTGATAACCTAGTTTTGCAGTGTTGTGAGTGTGGAAGATGCACAGCCAAGGGGTGCTGACTGTCAGTTCCATACAGCGTCTGGTATTGCTAGCACCTCCAACACCAACCACATGGAATTTCTAAGAACAGAAAAATGTATTTCTCTGAATTGTTGGAGAGGATATACTCATCATCGCCCTGACTTTGTGCCTTCATCTATGAAATTTTTTTTTTTTTTGAAGGGGGTGATATTCCGTGATGAAAGGAAAATGATGACTTTAGTCTGTATATCTGGAAGCAGCCAATATGTAGTAAGGAACCTAGAAATACTGTAAGAACTGTCATATCATAAAATCCTTAATTTATGGTACAGAAAACATTTACTATTACAGTACAGTGCATTATTTTGCTAGAAGCCAACTGAATTTTCTACCTTGCATGATGAGTATAGGAGTTGACATAATAAAGCCAAATATATCAAAGGCCTCTTGGATGTATTTTAAACAAGTGGTAGGGAAAATGAGTCTAGATTTTTTTTCCCAATTAACCATATAGTAGATCTAGTAATAATACTATAATATTCTAGCAATCTTTAAAAAAATATTAGAATATTGAAGCACAACCATTTTATCCTGTAATAAAATAATTGAAAGAAATCAATATATTATGGATTTGAATAGGGTTAGTTAACCTTAAAACTGAAAACTATAAGCTTAGAAGTATGTGATTATTAAAATATTTCATGATTTGAAGAGGTTTCTTCTCTTTGGTTTATAGTTATACATGAGCTAAAAAGTAGAGAAAGATTGTTTTTCAAATCCCAATTTCTCTGCTCTAGCCATCTACGATGTATAAAAAACTACTTTTTAAAAGACCAATGTCAATAAGTTTAATCAATATTTTAAAAAGTTACTTTACTAACTTGTGTTTGAAAACGAAGCAAAGGCTGGGCGCCGTAGGTGGCTCACGCCTGTAATCCTAGCACTCTGGGAGGCTGTGGTGGGTGGATTGCTCAAGGTCAGGTGTTGGAAACCAGCCTGAGCAAGAGCGAGACCCCGTCTCTACTAAAAATAGAAAGAAATTAGTCAGCCAACTAAAAATATATAGAAAAATTAGCTGGGCATGCTGGTGCATGTCTGCAGTCCCACCCACTCTGGGAGGCTGAGGCAGGAGGATTGCCTGAGCCCCCAGGAGTTTGAGGTTGCTGTGAGCTAGGCTGATGCCATGCCACTCTAGCCCAGGCAACAGAGTGAGACTCTGTCTAAATAAATAAATAAATAATAAAAAAATAAAAACAACGCAAAACATTCTTCTATTTAACTGAAGGAAGCATGCTTTATTCTTCAACTTTATATTCTATGTACCCAGCAGAGTGTCTGTCATATAGTAGGAGATTAACAGTTGCTGTGCTACACACACACACACACACGCACACACACACGCACGCACGCACGCATGTGAGCAAGCTCCCCTCCCCCCATGAGATAGATATAGTGTCGTCCTGGCATAGACAATTTAAATAATAACCAAAAGGCAGAGGAGTGTGGGTAGTTAGCAGCAAAATTCTAAGTTGAAGTTCAGAAGATACGAAAGAAACACCTTTCCTCCCTGTCTGCTCTTTGGGGAAGTTTGTGCCTTGTGTCTTGACTGAATCATAAGCTGGGTTTTTATGATAGGTCTCACCTCATCTAACCTTAATTGTGATCCAGTCCAGTCCCTTCTGTAGTAAATGGTGTTTACTGGAAATTACAGAGTCTTGCCACATAATTCCACAACCATTGGTCACCCCTGGGCAAAGGGAAATCTTTGCAAGTTCATGATTTGTTCATCTCTGCTACTAAATAAACAGAGTCCACTTGTGAGAGAAGTTGGTTATAGTCCAAGAAGCTTACTATACAGTGGAAGAAAATACATGGATTTTTTTTTTTCGTTATTTTTTTCTTACATTGACATTTAAGAAACACCAAAGCTTATTATCAAGTAACCCAACATAAGCAATCCAGCATCTATTATATCAATTTCCCTCACATTTATTATATTACCTTTTTATTTATTTATTTATTTATTTATTTTTTATTTCGGCATATTATGGGGTATATTACCTTTTTTAAACTTCAACTTCATTTTTCTTAGTCTCTATTAGGTATTGCTATTGATAAGATCAAAATCAATCTGTGTTTTTAGCTTTATGATTTCTGGATGAATTCAGTTTGCTTAATATAGAATGTTTTTTCTTTTTTCTTTTTTTCCTCCAAATCTCCAAAAGCCTGAAAATTCCTTTTCTTTTTAAAGAGCTAAATGACTCTAAAAGTAACAACAATAACAGCAGCATCTACCTCCATTGACTTTCACTGCATCTGTCTGGTTGCTTTTGCTGGCTGAAGTGACAGAAACTCAGCCAGAAAAGAAAACCCTAACAGATTTCACTGGTGGGGAATAAAAGTTCTGAGCAGCTTCCTTTTGCACTAGGGTGGCATGGAGGAAAGTGTTTTCCTCCAAAAGGGATCCATTTTGCAAACCAGGAAAGACTATTTAGCAGTGACTCTTAAATATCTGTGAGTCACAGATGGAGACTTTTGCAAATCAGATGCAGGTTTTGGACCATTCTTCCTTGGGAAATTTACTTACATACAGGGATGCTATATGTCCATAATTTTGGTCCATCTCAAGAGGTTCATGGAACTCCCTGCCCCAAGGCCATTTGTGAACCTCTTTGGAATACCCAGGATCTAGTGAATGTACCTAGAAATCCTTGTTGCATTTATCCTGTTTAACTTTAACAGCCCTCTAGCAAGGCTCTAGAGTACAAGTACAATCACCACTATCCCCACCCCGCCACAGTCTGGTAACCTTTCATACTTGAGTGAAAAGTAATAATTATGCATTTTATACCCTGAGTTGGAAAACCAGTCACCAGTTGCTATGCTGACTCAATCTACATACTGTTGACTATTTTTAGGAACTCTTTCTATTGGATGCAATAAAATGCTATTTAGAAGTAATAAAATGTGGCTCTGTAGTATGACTATTTCACAGAGACCCGAAGAATTCCACAGAAGGATCTTAAGTTTCTCACCCCAAGGCTAACATATTGCTTGGCCTGCAGTTAGACTTGCATTATCTCCTGTTTTTCAGGTGGCAGCAATTTCCTGGCTTTGCTATTGGCAGAAGGGGACTGAGATGTCCTGGGTCCTACCTGACAATACTCCTAGGCTCACAGGGTAGGCTTTGACTGCTGGACTCCACGCTTACGGTCAGGGCTAGTCTTATTCATTGTCAGTTTTCCCGTGAGTGATACATGGAATAATTGAATGTTAGAAAATCCCTGGGTGAATGACACGCCCTGCCCTCATGCGCTTAGAGTTTTAACCAGGTTCAGACCTGTTTGCAGTCTGCTACAGCACAAGGTGGACTGTTAGTGGTGCGGATGGAGTGGTGTGGTAGGGAGCGCTTTCTAGATGAAGCTGAGACCTAGAGAAGTAAAAACGACCCCTTGGAAAGTGGCAGTAAGAGGCAGAGCTGGACATGACCTTAGTTCTGGCTGCTCACAGCACTGGGCTCCTGAACAGTGCACTTTTCTGTTTCTCTCAGAGGGAAACAGTGACCTTGGGAGTCTTGTATGTAGCTAGTTGTGATTGTTATAAGTGAAGATGACTTGTACACGCTTGGACAATCCACGCCGAAGAACAGGGTTAAAATGGGGAGTCCCAGGGAAGCCAGTGACATTGAGTGGAAAGGTCAGAAAATGATGGAACCCAGGCCCTTAGCATCCGTCCTCTGCGTGAGAGCCACGTAAATGAATCTGTTTCTCAAGCTTTGCCGATGAGTTCACAGATTCTGTGCTGAGCCTCTTAAATTGCCAAGAATGCTCAAGTCATTTGAAGATCTCCTCCCAGGAAAGTTGACATATTAGTGCTCAGTCATGTTTAGAATTGAAAGGAAATCCTGACTTGGGCTGCTGAGAGGAGGAGCCCACGCACGGTGCCCTCTTCCCACCCACCCAGCGGATGTGGGGACTTGTCAGCCAAAAGGCTCATGGACAATGGGTTGTGTTTTCTTTCTTTCTTTCTTTTTTTTTTTTTTGAGACAGAGTCTCACTTTGTTGCCTAGGCTAGAGTGAGTGCCATGGCGTCAGCCTAGCTCACAGCAACCTCAAACTCCTGGCTCAAGCAATCCTTCTGCCTCAGCCTCCCGAGTAGCTGGGACTACAGGCATGTGCCACCATGCCCGGCTAATTTTTTCTGTATATATTAGTTGGCCAATTAATTTCTTTCTATTTATAGTAGAGACGGGGTCTCGCTCTTGCTCAGGCTGGTTTCGAACTCCTGACCTCGAGCAATCCGCCCACCTCGGCCTCCCAGAGAGCTAGGATTACAGGCGTGAGCTACCGTGCCCAGCCTGGGTTGTGTTTTCTTGCTTCCTTATGAAAGGAAGCCGAAAAGAAAACATAAGATAGGGCCTGGCCATGAACATATGCCAGGACCCTAGGACGCATTCAGAGCCCTTCATTGAACATGTTGGGAGGTTGGGACACTGGGCAGTGTGGCTGAGGATTCCACCTTTCTCCACCCAAGTCTTCCTTCAGGCCCAAGCCACGTTTATCATGGGTGTAAGTGACTCAAATGCTCGCAGACCCTTCTCTCATCTTTCCTAAAGAAAGTTTCAAAACCCTTAGATCTTCTTTGGGGCTGCTATTTTTCTCTTTTGAGAAAAAAATTTCACATTTTTTTCCAATGAGCTTTTTTCAAGTTGGAAAAAAACAAAACTATTCAAAATATAGGCATAGAAAGTATAGCCAATATCCATATATCTACCATCAAGGATTTCCTTGAAGTGGTTTTGGTTTTTGTGGGTTTTTTTTTTTTTTAAAGGAAAAGCTCATCTCTACCGCTAACCTCATGTGTTAATATATGTCTTGTCAGCAATCTTGATAAATTCCTAGGTAATTTGATTCTTTCTGTGCTATACTACTTTATACGATGTTGAGTGTGCCATTCATTTCCTGTTTCTAGTGTTCTTCTTCTAGAGTCCCTAAAAGCCAGCATAAGACAGGCATATGGTACAATGATTTTCTCCAAATAACACCTATACTAAACCTGTCTCCTGGCCAGTCTGTTCAGGGCTGTGTTACCGTTTGTGCCTTGTTTGGCAGCAAGCTTACTTTCTCCCTCTTGTTTAAAACAACCCCTGATTATTTTAAGTGCATACTTCCTGGAACAAAGGACATTTGATTCTCATTACATTGAAAGTGGGTGTTTATATCCACGGTGGCAAAAGAAACAAGTAGCAGCTCACCCTATCCCGGTGATAACTGCTGTGGTCTTTGGTGGCAGACTGCCTGGCTGTGGGTGCTTTTGTGTGTGGCTTCCAGAACAAACACACCTACATACCCCTGCCCCATTCTTGTCTTGTTGGGTGACATTTTTTTAGGGTTCCACTTTTATTTTAACATTGGTGCTTTTAATTGTCCTGAAGAATTGTAGTATTTCATTTTTTATAGCTTGGAGAGAGAGTTGTACAGGATGGAATAATTTCTTAAGGAATAGAAATGTCCTAATGGTAGGGAAGTATATAAGTATCTAAATGTTTTGCTTTTCCAAATTGTTGCCAAGATGTGGAAACCTCCACCCCAATCTGTATTGTCAGCTCAGCCAAGTGTAAAAATAGCCACTTCACTTGTCTATAATTGTCTTTACATTTTCTCCATTGTTGATTTCGTATCTTTAGCAAAGCTATATGGAAAATAATTAGTTGAGTCGTGAGTTTGATAAAGTTATTTGTTAAGCATATGCGTCACATGTAAGAAGAACAAGGAAATAAAGAAGCTGCCCCCAACTCCAGTGAGGCAGGGGTGTGAGAGTGAGGGCCAACAGCTAGAAGGAATGCTTTTTGCAAATTACTCCATTCAGACTTCCTTCCTAGAGGGACCCCTGTATGTGCCAGTAGCAGTTCTGAGGGCTGTTCCTTCTTTAAAGGCAACTGATTTTATAAGTAATAAAAAGGTTGGTCTGAGGGCCAGACTTATAAAAATTATTGGTGTTGTCTAATATGCAGCCTAGAAGCTGGGAATAATAAAAATAGCATCAAATTCTGAGGTTCTTATGAGCATTAAATGAGGTGATACTTGTTTATAATAAAATAATTTAAAAAATAAAATTTTGTGAAATAATCATTTAAGAAAATGATAGCTATTGTAGCTATCATTATCATTGCTAATGCTATCATGTTCTTATCATCCTTATCTACCTTTAAAGAACTGCTGTTATATTGGCCAACATGATTATCCTGCCATTATAATCTATACCAATAAGGAAGGGTTGCCTCTTATCTTATTGTAACACACCTGACTTGCATATTCTACGTAGTTTGCAACGATGTTTCTCTGTACTATCATTCCCCCATTTGTCCTTCTGTTATTGTAATATAGACAATGTAAAGACATAGTTCCTTTATTAGTGACCAATCTTATTCTAAATTACATTAACAAGTTTCTTGGTCTCACTAAAGAACTTGTCTTATTTTAGTCATAATCTAGACATAGAATAGTAACATCCTGGTTAAATAGAAGATGGTGGTACTTAGCATGAAGCAATGGTAAAGTTAAATTCTCTGTTGAATCCTTTGGAAAATTTTCCAGCTGTTGATAGCAAAAAATATAGACATGTTCTCTGAATAGTATATAACAGGGTAATATTTGAGTTTGCAATAAACTGGGAGTGAAATAAAATTATTGGTTAATTTTCCTTCTTCGTGTGTCAAAGTGAATCTTTTAAACTACAACTTTCAATCATTGTTTAATTATTGACTTGCTGTAGGCCAGGCCCTGTAGCTCACATTTGTAATCTTAGCACTTTGGGAGGCTGAGTTAGGAGGATTGCTTGAGGCTAGAAGTTTGAGGTTGCAGTGAACTGTGATGATGCCCCTGCACTCTAGCCTAGGTGATAGACTGAGGCCCTATCCCTACTCCCTCCCAAAATAATAACTTGCAGTATTTACTAGATCAGAGTTTTGTGATCTTATGATAGTGAATGTTAAAGCTGGTAGCATATACATTTTCTGTTTAATTTTATGTCTGCTTTGTTAGTAATAAAGATATGCTTCTATCACTGTCTTTGAAGAGAAAATCGAAATCATCACTAACAGAAGTGTAAGCAAACCACAAATACAAGCCACATAGGTAATTTTCAGTTGTCTAGTAGCCACAAAAACAGTCAAAAGAAACAGATGAAATTAATTTTAATGGTTTATTTTTACCTGGTATATCCAAATATTATCATTTCCAACATGTAGTCCATATGAAACTTAATGATATAGTTGACATTTTTCCCCCTAGTAAGTCTTTGAAATCCATGTATCTTCCATTTACGGCATCTCAATTTGTACTAGTCACATTTCAAATGTGCAGAAGCCACATGTGGCTAATGTCTGTGGTACTGGGCAGCACCAGTCTAAGTGGTAATATGTCTTCTTCTAGGTCCTGTAATCCCAGCTCCACCTGGCACCTAGAATGCCCTCAATAAATGCATGTTTGATTAAGCTGTATTCTTACCTTGTTAACTGGGTATTTTGCCCTTAGCTTTAAGCGTTTCTGTAGAGAATTTTAATAGCTTCATCAGAAATTGATAATACATGGTATAATGAACATTTGAGTTTTTGGTTTATAAATCCCTATCTCTGCTTTTGTGCAAGTGCCTTCATCTATATGGACATTTTCTTAATGGTAAAGATGATTTTGTAGGCTGGGGTTGTGTGGTCCACTTGTCTACATTGCCTGTCTACACTTATTGGCTCATAAGTAGTATTCAACCTGTATAACATGAGTAAGAAATTACAGGTTTCTTATTTTTCCTCATAAATTACAAGTTCTTGAGTAGCCATGATATTACTGTGTAAGCCCTCTTAGCATTAGGCGCAAGGGGATGTAGGTTTGTGGATATATGTGGATCATTAGGGAAGCATATTAACTATTTGATACTGGTTTTTTTTTTAATGATAGTCTCTTTCCAGGGTATCTGTTAATGAAAGTATTCCCCATCCTTCATGTTAATACTGTTTGCTTTTCATGCCTAAGCACAGAAAGTGGTTGGAAGTTGAAAGATAGATAGATGGTCCAGGGTTTCAAATTCAGTTAACGGGAGTTTGTTTTTACCAGGTAGATGGTGCTAGGTTCCCCGTGGCCCAGGCATGGAACAGCCTGTGGCTTCTGATGGAAAAAGATCTG